TCAGCCAAAGCCCGGGGGGGCGCGCGCGTTTGCTTTTCGCCGCCAGAGTGCCTCAGTCGACGAACGGTGTCGTTCTGTTTTTTTCACAGTGCGCCGTCGTGGCGAACAGCTGTTTTCGTGGAAATAACACTGTTGGCTGTCTGCCATCGACGTCCCCACCATAAATAATTGCCAAGCAACTGTAACTGCGTAGCACCGCTGGTTCGTCGTCGTCCGTCAATCGATGTCATTATCTCGAAGGAACACGGATCCGTTGCCTGCTTCAGTGTCAGTGTGCCCATTCTCAATACGGACGCCGCCGCCTTCGGTCAGTTCGGTTTGCCCGCCTGCCGCCGCCGTCGTCGTCGTTTCATCAGTCGCTCTGCGCGTGCGCCTCGATTCCATACGACGACAATAGCGACATTCACACCGGAGTCCAGTGGTCGCAGTTGGTAGCTGTGTCCGCACACGCTCGCTCGACGACCCATCGTTGTCTTGCCCTCACTTACGAGTTATTCTCTCTCGACGGGGGCGTTTGTCAGCACGTCCTGTCATTGTGTTAGCTGCCGACAGTGGCAGCTACCACCCCCACCCGCCATTACAACATCCGATCATCTGTTTACCCTTACTAGTTACCTGAACAATACCACAAGAGCGAGTGAGTAGTGTCCCCGAGTATTATAGTGTACCATATAGATGTTATTTATAGTACTATTACCGTGCTTTATAGTGGAAAATAGGATTAGTTAGATTAAATCTAATATTTATTCAGCGCCACTTCTACGCAATACAGTAAACTATTGAATTATTTTAATATGCGTAATTAAATATTAGTAAATGTTAACCATATTAACTATGATATTGTCTATGTGTTAGGTCGACTACAAATAATATTCTTGATTTGAAACATTGATATTGTTTGTTGCTGACCGTACGCGTCTTCCAGACGCCTTTAATCATCTCTATAAGCCATGGACGAAGATATGGACTGCCCACATATCGTCGACGCGGCCGAGAAACTAAAGTTGGATGTGGAACAGATCAGAGCTACACTCAACAACAGGAGTTGCAATGGTGAGATGTCATGTAGACACATAAAATAGAGAGTACATGACACCACAGTAATAAATATATATTTTAATGTAATGTGGTAATGACGTCTCTAACAATTATTATTATTATTATTATTATTATTATTATTATTATTATTATTACTATTACTATTATTATTATTATTACTATAATAGGGCTCTTACTGTAGTTTTTACTGTTATTATTGTTATTACCTCTATTGAGGTGAGATAAGGATTGGTCAATTGGCCATATAGGTTCAAACAAGGTGGGTACTCGTTTAAATATTTTAGTTTTTATAATCCTTCTAAATTTATGTTAAGAACTGAATTTTGGAACCGGTCCAATATGTGATCTACCGATAAACGGCTGGTCAAATGTGTGATCTACCAATAAATGGCTGGTCCAATGTGTGATTAACTATTAATTATATATTATATTCATACTGCAAAAGTATTTTTTAAATCTGATAAAAAATCATCAAATATTTGAGTTTGTACCGGGTGACATGACCGCCACCATTCTTCTTTAAGTTGGCGGTCTAATAGTGGAGATGCACCATTAACTTTAATATTATACTTAGACTTGACTAACTTCCATAACGACTCTATTGTTTGAGTATAAGCTCAATTTCAATTCATTAATAATTATATTTTTATATAAATATCCCATTGTTATAGTAGAATTCATTTTAAAATTTAAATCGTTACAAAACAAGTTATAAAAAAAAATTGAAAAAATTAATCAACAAATGAAATGACATGAATGAATGCTAAATGGTAACTGAATGTTTAAATGATGTATTTTAAAAATACAATATAGTCTTAAAATCCATATCATATCAATAATTATATAGTGTAAAATATAGATATGTTTTCAGTAGATCACGCATTGGACCAGTCCCTGAATTTTTTTTCAGAAGTAGATTAAAAACTTTCTGCCTAGTTAAGCTTTTGCATATTATAATTTAGCATCTAGTTTTTTGGACAAAATGATGACTATTAATGTGTGAGCTTGTTGTTTTGGTATTCCTATGACTACAATATTAAAATATTGATGAATATATATTTTCACAATTATAAACTGAAGTTTATCAGTCTAATTAATCTTTAACCTTTTGTTATAATTTTAATCATTAAATTAAATAATTTTTTTATATTGCATGTAATTTTATTACTTTTATAGTTTTATCTCACAATAATGAGTAAAATACTTATATCTAATTAGTGTTTGATTTGCTATCCTTAATATGCATATAACTTTAGAAATATAATTGCCTGGAATGGAATTTGAACATTTTTTTGCTCATTCTAAGGACAATTTTAGGTATTTATTTTTATTTAAAAATAATATTTGGTGATATCTTTATTTGCAGTTATTTTTAAATTCCTTGGCAGAAGAATAATTGTGTAGTACCTATACTTTTCCTCCTCGAGTATTTGCCAATTTTTATTTTTCTCAGGTATCAATTCAGATAGTACTAAAAATTAGTGATTAGTTACTGTATACATTATATTGACATAAAATAATTATAGAATGTGTTCAGAAATGTATAGCAATATGAATTTTAGATTAGTTAAAAATATTTGGGATGATTAATATTTAAGTCTTGATTATTTTTAGAACAAATTTGTCTTATTTGAGTTTACAATTTTAACTTTAAAAAAAATGTTTTGCCTGACCATTTTTAAGTAGATTATATTCTATTTAGGCTAACAGTAAACCATCTCACTAATGCATGCAGACTAAATTGTTACACTCTCGATCTCTTAACTCTTAAGGTTGTCTAGGGGCTCTGTCTTAATTCATATTCTCGTCAGTGACTATAGTAATGTCATGTCATGTCGTGTCTACACTTTTTATTTATTATATTACCGTTCAACCATTTTCAATTATAAGATATCCATGTTTCCTAATCTAAAAAGTTAGTAGTATTGTACAAAATCAAAAGTCTTATAATTATTTATTAAACAGTTTAACCTATTAGAGTGATCAAAATTAATTTCCTTAGTCTAGTGTTTCTTAACCTTTTTGATATCATGGAACACCAAATAGTACCTAATATTTTTTTTAAGCAAAACCCCTATGAAAATTATTTTTAAATATAATTAACTATTACGTAACATTAAAATATTATAATGTGTGCACGTCTAACGATTATTCTCACTAGCCGTATTTTGAAAAAAACATTTTCGTAGAACACAAATTACTGTCTTAAATACTGCTTTAGACAATCTGATTTGATTTTATATAAGGATTCCGGTAAAAGCCTCAGTAGTCAGTGGCCCAGTACAGCTTTTAAATAGATTTTTCATTAATTTTCAATCAGTAACAGTGCAACTGTTTTTCCAAAGAATGGAAGTAAAAAATAGATTAACTAAATTAATTGTTATAAAATTTGTTATTATTTTCTGGATAAGTATGGTTTATGAAATGAGATGGTAAAATCAAATGTCAATCTTTTTCATTATAAATTAATGTTTTGCCTTAAAAAATCATAATTATATGAAATTAATTACGGCCTACATATTATCAATACTATGAAAATATATTGATTATCAGAATTTATATTTTAGTAAATAATTAAGTCACAGAGCCACATAATTTTTCCCTTCATCTCCCAAAAATATAATATTAAAATATTCTCTATTTAACATCTATTTACAATATTCCTTTTTCTTTCTACCCCATGTGCAACATAGACAAAACATATTTATACAAAATAAATTTTTTTTAAGGCAAGTAATAGTAAATTATAAAACTAATATATTATCAAAGCTTCAAAAATAATATTTTTTATTTTTTTTTAAATAATTAATTTTACTCTTTGATTACTTAAAAATCATATAGAAAATCTGATATGAATGTAATTTATCTATTTTGTGCACGGGTCTGAGTAAGAAAACAAATATTGACATCAAATAAATGTATTTAACATCAAATAATAACTAAAATTTAAAAAAAAAATACTTAGAATTTTTGGTAACTTTGTTTTGTAGTTTAAAATTTTAGTATTAAGAATTGTCATTACATTTAGTCTTTCTTCTTTCTTAATCAATCATTACTATGGATCTCCTCTTTTTAATAATGGAAAATAAAACAATTACTAGACAAGTAATATGTATATAATAACCTACTTAACGTAACAACAGAAATTTTTGTTTTTGATTAAAACAAGGGATTGCTGCATTGCTGGATTTTTTTTAAACTTTTCATAAAATTCTAAGGTTTTTAAGTATGCTTTCAAGTATAAACACATTTATTCGAAAAATATCTTTCCTAATCATCCTAATCAATATATGTTTCTTAAACTAATTTTGTCTATTTTTGGGGTTATATTACTGATATATTTTTCTTATTAAATGTCCCAAAAATATATTACATTTCAAACATTTTGTCATTTTTTTCTTTTTTTCTAGTTCAGATTTAAGTTTATTGAAAAATTAATAAATGTAGTTATCTTACAATATATCACTATTATCTCTATATTTTCATCACTGAATTTTTCTTATTTTTCATGTGTTTACTTACAGTTTCTTTTAAGTTTTCAATAAAACATTAAATTGTAAGATTTGAATCACAAATGTATTCTTATTTTGTACAAAGATCATTATTTACATCAGTAATTAATTACTTATGTATTATAATTTATTTTAACAGATTATATTTGTTTATTGCTTTAATTAAAGAATAAAAGAATATTTCTCAAAAATAACAACTAAAATGGCATTTTTTAGTTGTCAATACTTCAAATTTCAACTAAAATTGTTACACTAATAACAGCACCAATAATTATATTATTTTTAATTGTGAATAGTTATGAAATCAGAAATTTCCAGTTTAACCAATTATTTCAAAAACAAACAAAGAAACTACTATTACACATTTCAATACTTTTTTATGCATAAGTAAAAAACTCAATACTTTCAAAACGTACACAAAACAAAATATTTGATTTATTAAAAAATTGATTATCAAAGCATAGATAATATCCTTGATAATATTCCCCTCTATTTGTCAATTTAAATTTAGAGAATTTAGTATTGTTATAGATTTCATCGTATTAAAACTCATGAACCATGTTTTTCTATTGGATGGCGAGTACTAAATTATGTAACTAGTATTATTGCTTATCTTTAGAGGTCAGAATTATAATCTTTTAAAATAGTCAAAATAAGATGCTATTCCCCTAAAAAATTGATAATATTTTTTAAAAACTAGTTAAATATGTAAGAAATATGCTTTTACAGTAATATATTCTCCTAAATTCAAAATATGCTTTCATATTTAAAAAAAAAATACAATCTAATTAATACATAAAGGTCATCAGTTATGATACAATTCTATATGTTTACTGGAATTTATTTTTTCATTTATTTGAATAAACAATTATAGGTACCTAATAATTTAGTTTAAAAAAAATGTTCATTAAACATTTTATTAACTCATCCCATATTGTTATTCCGTTTATAGTTATCTCAATAATAACAGACTAAAAACTTATTTAATATTATTAATAATTTTTGTCTGTCCCTACAACACTAAATATCCAAATTCTATAAAATTAATCGTTATATTTTCTAATATTCTTTTTAATATAAAATATTCTCAAATATGCAAAAAAAACTTTTGCCATTGAGTTATATATAATTCATAATTTTTATAGATTTTAAACCAAAATTTGACTGCATAAACTCAAAAAAAAAAAATATGCAAAAGAATATTATTCCGATCTCTAATTATCATTATCCTACATCTATCAGAATAGATTTTGGTTTGCCTTATTTATATATAGTTTGTATAGTTGTATTTATATTATATCTGGAAAAATTATTTCTATTGTCCTCCAAATGCATTGCAAGTTATATCCGCATTGTAGCATATAGGTACTTTATTTAATACTTTAATTATTTAACATAATTTATTTTTGTAAATTTTTTCACAATAATAATTACTCCGTGTATATATCGATAATCTGTATCCCAATAATTAATTATTAGTATATTGATAATTTATGTTTCATTGTTCCAACTTTTATAATTACTTTTTTAGTAATTTAATTTAATTCAAAACAACCCAGTATTATGAAAAACTGACTAAATTTTGTAAAATTTGTGTATATTTAATAATTTAAATTTTTCTGTTAATCATTAATTTTCAAAGTCTACCATATTTTTTAAAAACTGATAACATTTTGGTATGTGGTCCATAAATATTTTGAAATTTTTGACTAAAGTCATATTTAGGGTTTAAAGAATATTATCTTTGTTTAAATATCTTTAAGTTGGTGTGAATAGTCTGATTTACATTAGGTAATGATATTTTTCATAATATATTGTGCCTGTTTTAGATTATAAGTACGATCCATTTTTTCAGCATTATCTTGAATTGAACATCACCAAAATAAGATATTCTGTAACATTGTTTATATAAACATGACATTACTTTGTAGTCTGTAGTCTCAATAATTGAGAATTAGATTAGATTAAAGTAGCGTTTCATTCTAAAAAATCTGAGATATTCAAAACATTTTCTGCATTCTAAAAAGACTATTTTGGGACAAAATATTGTTACATAATTTTAGTATTACGATAATGATGTTTACAGGATTAAACAAGTCCATTAAAAAAATAACCCGCTGCACTCAATAATTCTTATCCAATAACATAAGTTTTAAACATTTTAATTTGAATCTTATGAAATATTGATAACTTAAGCTAGACCCTTTACAAATGACTATTTATATTAGATGGTTTTTATGTTTGTTATATATATATTATATATGTATAAATATAATTAATATGGTTTATATTGTAGACATATTAATCTAGACCATAGTGGTAGAGGAGGTTCTTAATGATTAAATATTTAAATAAATCAGTAAATAACTATAGTTTGTAAACATTATTTATCATGAGCTTCCCTGTTGTACTAGTACATCAATTTACATCTAGTTACTAAGTAATCAGTATGAGTGCTGTTGCATCAATTCAGCTAAAAATTTTATACATTTTTATGTTTACAGTAAATGCTAATATTAATATAATCATTCACATTTTTTTCTCATATTAAACAACAGAAAAATAATTTTGAATAATATTATATTCCTAATTTTGTATTATACTTAATTGAATAATAGTATTAGGTACATTTATATTGTTTCTTTTAGAGTAATTCAAAAATAATAAATTTCATAATTTTATATAATTATTTTATCTTGTAGTATCATGCTTCAATTTTTTATGGATATTTTGTGTGATAAATTAATATACCTTTTACATTTTATGGGTTTAACATGTTTACATTGTCTAATTCTTACTTTGTAGTCCTATGACTTAAATCAATCATTTTTACATTTTTCATTAGATCCTAAACGACTCCCATCTATTGTTTGCTTATTTCCAAACGGCTTCTGTCAAAAATGGTTTTACGAACACGTAAATTCCCAAACGGCTTCCGTTGAAAAAAATGTACTAACAGGTTCAATTGTATGATTGTAAATTCTACAATAATTATTAAACATCTGCACGCCTGTCCGAATTGTATTCAAATATATTTATAAATAACATTGAAATTATCTACTGAAACAAATATGATTTATATTTTACTATTGTATCACCTTGTATTTGCCTTAGGTTAGTTTATAAAATATTTGTTTAGATGATTATATTGTAGTAATTGTTTAGTTGTGTTGTACCTAGCTTAGTATTGAGCTTAGTATATAATAGAAGTTGATATTTGTAGAGAACGAGGTTGCAAATTAAAATATAGTTGTTTGTTAAAATGTATGTATCTAGTTTTCAGTAACAAAAAAAGTAATTATTACACTTAGTTACTTCTAAAATTATAATAATCATTGAATTTTATTTATTAGAACTGGTGTTAAATAGTTTCTGTAATATTTTGACATTTGGTTTGCTAGGTGTTTAAAAAATAAAAATTATATAAAACTTAATTTCAATAACTGAACCTGTAAGATATATTTTATTAGATTTGGTCTATCATTAAAACTGGTTTTATATTTACAATTGTATAGATTGAAGTTCTAAATATTTTTTATTTTATTTATTTATGTCTTACCTATATATCAGGTTTTTGTTTTATTTTAACCTTTAGTTTAATAATAAAAAATAATTTAATTTATCATTTAATTTAAAATCAATATGATCAACTTTAGCATAATAATCTGTATGTATAGTATATTCTAGAATTGTTCATCAAATGTGATGATTAATCAATTTTCTTAAAAATTTTATGAAAACTACATTATCCTATTTTGTCTAGAAGTAAACCATATGCAATAGAATACATTTTTTGTATAGCAATAAATTTAAATGAATAATTAATATAAAAAAAAAAAATAATTATTTTGTTCAAATTTTATATCATCAATTTTAGATTATTAATAATTTTTACAAATCTACTTAAATGTGTTAAAATTTGCTTAAAATTTAGTTCAAATAGATAAATACAAAGAAATGAGTTATTATTAATTATTCACATAATTATAGTCTTCAATCTATAAATGTATAGTTTTATTAGTCATTGTTTTTGTGGGAAATATTTTATATTATTTTTCTAACATTTCTTATTGTAGTAACTTGTTTGCTTGTATCTGTTATCACATTTTATATACAAAATATTGTATCTTATATTAATTATGTATTTTATAGGTTTAACCTTATATAGTATAAATTCTATAATTTGGTCCTTCTTAATAGTATTACATAGGTAATTAATACAGTATTTACCAAAATATGTACTTTGATATCTGATGTTTATAGGAATGTATGATCTTGAGGAAATAGAGTATGATAATAATGTGAAGAAAAATTTGGAGATACATAAATTCAAAATAATTAAGTCTAAGCAAATTATTTAGTATTCAATAAATTCAAGTATTTAGGCTCGGGTATGAAAAATAATATAGAAATTAAAAGACAGACCTTAGAATATATTTGTAAAGTGAATGAAGTGAAGGAGAGATTACTAATATCTATAGATATAAATGATACATAAAAATAAAGGAAAATATACTATTGTAGAAAAACTGTATCAGTGATTGAAGTAATAATCGTAATTTATTGAATTAATTATGTATTCATTTAGGAACTACAATTTTACATGAAAAAAATATTTAAAATATGTGTTGTTAAAATAATGTGTTGTTAATTTTAATAAACGTATAACTAAATATTCAGTTAATTTGATTCGAGTTAAAAAAAACTAAATTTAGTATTTTTTTCAGTTTGCTTACGAGTAGATCAATTATGGATGTGCATGGAGTGTCGACAAATTCTTTGTGGACATAATGCTGCAGGACACAGTACTGCACATTATGAATTCCACAAAACTCATTGCATATTTATAAATATAGAGTCTGCTGCTATATTCTGGTTAGTTTAAAAAATAATTGCTATATTATTTTATTGACCTAAAGATGTATTTCAAAGAAAATATTTTTATTGTTTGAAATATTATTTACTAACTAGTCATAATATTATGTTAAATTTTTAAATATATTTTCATTGATTTATAATTATTATATTTTATAATATTCACAGAATTTTTAAATTTTATTTTTTGTTTTTAAAGTTTCAAGTGTAATTCTGATATCGAACCAAAAAACCATGATGATGAACTTAACCGTCTTCGGCAATTTATTTTGTATAATCGTGGACCGATTGCAAATAATAGTAACAAAAAAATAAGACGGTAATTATTTTAGTAAAATTAAAAATAAACAAAACAAAGCGACCACTGTATTAAAGCTTAATATATTTTTATATATTTAGGAGAAAAGCACCTAAAGCTGCTAAGCCAAAAAAGAATAGTTTTAAACGAGGTCCTAGAGCTAATAAAAAAGTCATTAAACCTAATGAAAATGACTGTCTTATGAATTCAGTTTCCCAGATTCTTAGGTAAATATTACTATTGATTAAATTTAAAGTGTTATTTAAAAAAACTGAAATTAACTGTATGATTAGATTGTATATACAGAATATAATGTTTAAAGTTTAAATATTTGTAAATGAAATCTCAAGTATTTTACTGATGTCTTATTATATGCATTCTATCTGATATTTGATGTTTTAATTATTGTGTTAATTTATAAATATTAATTTTTTTTTAATTGTTCACTCAATTATTTATATAAATTATCTATAAAAATAAAATATTATCCATAAATTACTTATTTATAAACATTTTACTGCTATTGTTTTTTTCGAGGTTTTTTTAAAAATATTATCATTGATCATAATTTTAAATTTCCATATTATAGATAGTATACTTTTACTTGGCTATATAGCCACTATTATTTTTATAACAACAGAATACTATTTCACAATATTTTTTAGTTCACTCCTAACGCTAAAAATATTATCATATATATTGTATACTAAAGATTTGTATAATTAATGCTATCTATACATATTTTTTGGTTATTATATGCAATCTCTACAAAAATGTTTGGTATGATCTATCAATTTATGTTTTATGATGTCATATTCAATTCACTCCAAAATTGTTGTCTATACATTGTTTTATATGTTAGACAAGTTAAGTGAACATGCTATGAAAAAAAAACAATTTTATTTTGAATTACCATTAATGACTTGTCAAAGATATCAAGGAACCAATTTAGTCTTATTTTTAGATATTCTTATTTTGCCTTTTAAGTTTTTAAATTATTAAATATATAGTATATTGAACTAACATATTTAAAACAATAAATGTATTAAAGCTTAATATATTTTTAATATTTAGTGAACAAGAACCTCAAGCTGTTAACGAAACAGCTAACGATCCAAAACAAGCACTTAAAACTGTCGTACCAAAAAAAGCACTCAAAGCTAAACCTAAAAAACCACTCTTTAAAAGAGGTCCTAGAACTAATAAAAAAGTTGGTATATCTAATAGTGGAAACAATTGCTTTATGAACGCGGTTTGGCAATCGCTTCGGTAAATATTATTTTACTACTCGTTAAAGTTTAACTTTGTGAATTCTGTCTTGATAAAAATGTAGAGTAAAATATGTTGTACTTAATTTTTTGCTAATCAAATATATTAAACACTTTATTCACACTTCCCTAATAATCTCTAAAACATAATTCTAGTTTTTTTTTTTATTTTGATTAGAGTTATTGTTTCTCATATGGATATCTGTGTTAACTTGTGTATTATAAGGAATGAAATATCTTTAGAAATTTTTTTGCCTTACCAAATGTTTACACCATATCATTGTTATGGTTCATTATCCCAATAATGAGGTATTTTTTACACCTGTTCGGATCAACAAATTTTTATCTTTTTTATTAGTACAGTTAAAAAAACCTTGTCAACTTTAAACTAATTACTTCATATACAAGACATCCATGTTAACAAGTAAAAGACTAACTATGTAGTTGAATTTAATTTATATACTATTATATTTTACTATTTTTATTCTGAAAATCAGCTCCAGACAAGAGATTATACAATCATTTTTACTACTTACTGTCAAAATAATTTTTTAAGTGTCACTATAAGTAACATTATCTGTCCCTCATCATAAGTCATTATCTTCTGTAGTTTTATGTCAATATTTCTAATAGGTAATTTAATTTTTATTATTTATATTTGCTCTACTTTTTGTGGTAAAATTCTAACTCTTATTTCTTTTTGATACTCTTAATATTTAATCATAATTCTATTTTATATGCAAGTTTTTTATTCATATTTTTAAAAATCATCTTACTATTAGTATTATGCTTTCATTTAGTTTTATGAGGGATCAATTAACATTATTAATCAGTATAATATTAAATAGTATTGTTTACCCATTTAAAATAGATGTTTATTATATTTATATCCTATAAATTTAATACTAAATATTTTATTTTCATTACTTTTATGCTTAATATATAAAGTATATTATATTCAAAAATTCCTTTATTGTCACTAAAAATTTAGATGATAATAAAAAACTTATTTATTTATTTTTTAAAACTTATTTCTATAATTTTTTTTCAAGTAGACTCTTTTAGATATAGATAAATAACTTCTAATCAACTAATTTTATTACTTTTTTGTGTAAAATTTAATAGTTATTTTCTGTTCTCAATGATAGCTGTAATCTCCTCTCTATTGCTATCAAAAATTAAGTCTCTTTATATTTTTTAATATTATTTATTAGTTTATTATCCTTATATGTAATATGTGTCATAATGGCATCTAAGCTATTATGTTTTTTGGCAAAAAAGATTAAAAACTATTTATTAAAATAATACCTTAAAATTAACTCCAATTAGGTAGATCACTAAAGCTTTCTTTTTCTAGTGTTAGCTATCTAAATAAACTAAAAATACTGTATTCCATCATAAATATTTTTTATGAGTATATTATACTTTATGTTTAAATAAATTATTTTATTGATAATTCATTAAATTGTATTAATTTAAAAAATTTCTTATAATATATTCCTTTTGTAATTTTATGTTTAAGGCACTACTACTAGTAAATTATTTAACTGAAATAAAAATCTTCATTTTTGTCTACTAAACGGACTTGAACTTAAATAAATTTATCTATGAATAATTCTTAGTTAAAAGTGTGAATTAAGTATTAATTTTAACTATAAATACGTGAATAATATATTTTAACTTGTACATGATACTCATATTTATTTTTCATATTTAAGTAATTCATTTTATCTAATTTTTCAAATATTTCAGCCATCTAAAACCATTTATATATTGTATGAAATTGTTCGAACTTGCTGAAATATGCAATCAAAATAATAATAATAATTCAGATCCAAGGTTGCAACATAGTATAGCCCAAGAATTGTGGAAACTATTGATGACATTAGTTGAATGGCAAAAACCCGCAAGCTATAAATTTAGAGAAGCAATTTCACCAACTGCTCTTCTCTCTATTGTCTGCAAAATTAAACCTCGCTACAAGTTAGTAATTAATAAAATATATTTAGTAACATAGATACGTTTTAAAATGAAAACAGATATGTATATTTAATAGGGACATATAATAGTAATTAAAATAGTGATGGGCAATGATATAGTTTTAAATGTTGATATCATTCAAAATTTACTGATATCCTATTGTAATCAAAATCCTTTTTTCGTTTTCACTTAACCAAATTTATATCACACTAAGAAATTTAACTTATTTACTTAATTAATGCTAATTATTCTTTATTTTAATACCTAAATATTGGTATACCAGTGTCATACATATTTGAATTACAATAAAATTAAATTGTTTATATCTTGGATGCCTTAGAACCTACAAATAAAATGTGATTCTTGAAAAATAATATAATAGCAATAAAAGTTTGATATTGAGAAATTATTAATCGATATAAAATGATTATCATTGTCCATCACTAAAATTAATTATATAAAATAATTTATTTTTCTATTTATAAATTAATAATTATATTTTTATAAAGTAGTGATAGTGGTATGAATACATTAAGTTGTTAATTTAATATATGAAGAAAAAGCTACTCCACTTTAAACATGATCATGTTTTAATTTAATGGAACTATTTTTATATGGGGTGTAGAATTTACTTGATTTTATATATGGGTGAATAGTTGTATTTAATATTTTCTATGAAGTATAAAAGTGACTTGCTAATTATTAGCTATTAGGTATGACAAAATGAGTTTATTAAGAATTATTACATCTATAAAGAATTTCTGTATAACAATTTTATTATTGTAGTATTGTATTTTATACAAATTTCAAGAAATTTCTAATGTCATCACTCATCTCTCATCTCTTTTTATAAAATTTTAATCCTGAGTGTCTGAAATAAATGTAGGAATTTCAAGAACGTCATACACTACAATTCATTCAAGATACAATGTATCTACCCTTTTAAATATATAGATTTTATCCATTTATTTTTCAAATGATTGAATCTTACAATCAATCAATTTTTTTAAATATATTTGAAACCAATGTTAGTTATTGTAAGTGGATGTATTAAAGAAATTCTTTATATATTAAATAAAAAAATTGATTTTTATAATGGAATTTTTGATTCTTAATTAATTAATTATATAATTATAACATAACCTTCTTTTCAAATAAAATATAAATAAAGCTAGAGAAATTGATATCATTTTTATGATCTTGTGGGCTTTGATTAAAATAAGTATAATTTAAGTTAGAATTTTTACTTAACTCAATTGATTCCAGTTTCATGTATCCAATTTCATATTTATTTAGCGAAAAAAATGAACTTTCATTTTTTCCCTCTCATTAATATGAATTTATGAATATAATAATATAAACATAATAATTTAAATTTATTTGGTAGTTATTGTTTAAAGTATTCAAAACATAAAATTTGATTTTAATTTAATTTTATGTAAGTCAATAAGTTAAGTATTTTCTTAGTATGTATATAACTATTTTTCTAATAAGCATTATACTCTTTTAAGTATTTATAAAAGACTAAAGAAACAAACATATTTTTTGAACAAAATGTAATTACTAATTACAGTAGAATCTCGGTAATCCAACATATCAGACCATGCTACTGCCGGATTAACAAAAACGTCGAATTAGTGAGGAGTTCACAAAAAACGCATTTTTACTTATTGAATTTCACATTTTTACTCGTATTAAAAAATGATTTAAAAATCTTTTGAGAGCAGTTTTCTTTTTGTTTATTAGGATTTAATCTGTTATTACTTAGTTTTATCTAACTGTTTATCATTTATGATAGTAAATTTATATATAAATACATATTGGTACATATAGGTTAATACAGCCGGATTACTGGACGTATTGGATTATCGAATGGCCGAATTACCGGGATTCTACTGTATTTATGGTTATATATTATTAGCATAAAATTATTTGGTTTTTACTTTTTACTAGTTTATGTATTTATTATTTTTCTGGTTTTAAAGTTTATGTTTTATTACAATTAAAAGTCTTGTTTGATATTAATAACTAGGGTTGGAAGTTGTAAGAATTGCATATTGTACAGTATGCTTTCAATTTATAGCAGACCAAACTAGAAATCTGAACTGTACAATAGAGAGTTAAAAAATTGAAAATTGAAAACGCATATTATGCATATTGCATATTTTTCTAGAAAAAATTGATTGTTTTTCTTTTTTAAACTGTTTATTTCTATTAATATTGAATATAAAACTCAAAATTTTCAACAAAGATATTTATTGTGATTTCAAAAATACTGAAAAAATATTTTTAATTATATAAAAAATCAGTTGTAAATTTTTTTCAGTTATATCATAGTTTTTACATATATTATTATTTTATTGATTTATTAATAACATCTGTTGTATTTATTTATTTATTTATTTTTTTGAATTCAGAATTTTTTTTTGCATATTTAACATAATTTTTAATGCATATTTTATAATTTTTCGTGCATATTTGCATACATAATTTACCTTTTTTAACTCCTATAACTTCCAAGCCCTATTAATAACAATATAATTAGTTGAATGAATACTATTTGTAGTATAATGTAAACTAAAAAGTCTCAATATTAATATGAAATTATCAGTTATATTATAAATAATGCTATGTATATTTGATAATTATATTGTACTAAAATTATAATGAATATTTAGAGGATATCATCAACATGATGCTCATGAATTTTTGATGTTTACATTGGATACTTTACATTCCGAGTTGAAAGATGAAAAAAAAAAATTGTTGTTAGAGGAGGGAATAACAAATCAAAATCCTAATAAAATTGATACACTTGTGTCCATGATGTTTCGTGGGTTTTTATTAAGTGAGGTGATTAATTTTTCACTTAATCACTATTCATTTTTACTGTTCTATAATATAGAGTAAGGCGTAAATTTTTACTCGGCTTAAACAAAATATAAATGGTGTTAAAAATAATAAAGTATCAAAATTTTAATAACCTATTTTTATATTATGTAATTTAAATTATATTTATTGTTTTATGTTGAAAAATTACTTAAAACTGTCACTAATAATCATTTAGATTGTTGAACAAAAGTTTTATTTAAATGTTTTTTAGTTAATTATATATGTTAATAGCTTACACTTTTAAATACCATTTAGACTGTTTTTATGAAATTTGATTCAACCTTACGCCTTACTCTACATAACATATTATGTAAGCTGATCCATGAAAAGTGGTACAAACATATTATCATATATTCTATTATAAAAGAAAAAATAATCTGCTTTAATGGATCATCTTATATCTTATAATAAAATATGAATTTTGTAAACAGATTCTTTCAAATTGTATGTTACATTATATGATGGGTGTTCAATTTTAATAAATTTAGTGATATTTTGTTCAATTTTTAGTTCTTTAACTTGATAGAATTTTAACTAATTGTACTCTAAATACTAAGAAATAAGTCCACAAGAAAACACTTAAAACTGTATTTAATTTTTGCTCTCTAATAACATTTTAAAAAGTGGATATAATAAGGCATTTTAATAAAATACCTATGATATTAAGATTTTATTGATTTTTAGTTAGCATTTAGGTAATCAAAAATAGAACATTCTTATTTTAATTATTTCCATAATAGTGTACCAATTTACCCTAAGTAAATTACACATCTATATAAATGTTATCAATAGTAGTAACATTTAAGTAATTGTTTCTTCGCCTAATTTCAATTATTGTAAATTAATATAAAATATTGTTAGTTTTATCGTTTTATTTTATTTATTTAGAAATCTTTAATTAATTTTGAAATATGTAAAAAGTATATAGCCTGAGAATAAGAAAGTATTGCTCTGTAATCTAAAATTTGTAAGAACCATCTTTAAAAACAATAATATGACACCTTATTAATATTATATTTTTAAATTTCCATCATTTGTGATCATACAATTTGTAAGAATCTGTATATTTAACTCAGTGAAAATAATTGAATTGAATTTTTATTAGGTATGCTGTTTAAAATGTAATGAACCTTCCAGAACAAGAGATCCATTCACAGATATGTCACTAGATGTTCCAGATTATAAAAATGCTGACCCATCGGTGATTCGACCAGTTGATCTTTTAACTGGTAAATTAAAATTAAATTGTATAAATATTTATATAATATTTTTACGATTAAAAAACTTCTTTTTCTAGATTGTTTGGCACGTTATTTTGAGATAGAAGAATTAAATGAAAGAAATTTTTACTACTGTGATAAGTGTCAAAGCCTACAAAAATCTACTAAGAGATTTTGGCTTAACGCTTTGCCTAATGTAAGTTTTTGTTTTTACTAAACAATAGCATTACAATTCTACTATTCTATACTTAACAGAATGATTATATTTGTTCAGGTGTTATGTCTCCATCTTAAACGGTTTAGATGGGACGAAACTTATCGTACTAAAGTCCATACATTTATTAAATTTCCTATGGAATCATTAGATATGTCTAAATATTTGGATGATGAAATGAAAACAGTATTTGTTAAAGAACCTTCATACATGTTTGACTTAGTTGCAGTTGTTGTACATGATGGAGAAGGGTAATTAAAAATAAAATTCTGTACATTTATATTATTAATCATGTATATCATTTTCAGAGGAGGATCTGGGCATTATACTTCTTATGCTTTAGATGATAAAGAAGGTAATATTAAATAATTAATATAAAGTGAAAGATTAAAACAGTTAAAGTTTTTTTTCAAAGTGCAAATTTTTATTGGCTTAAAATTTTGCAAAAAAAGTTTAGATTTTTCATTCTCAAGTTATGATATCTAAATGAAGTTCTAAATTTTTTTTTAATGATAATTGGATCAGTAGTATTTTTGAATTTTATACTTTTTATATTGAAAATATTGAATTTCATTAAAATAAATTCCGAAAAATTGAAGTTACAAAACCATAGATTTTAATAACAATTTGAAAAATCACTGAACTTAAATTACCTTTATGTTATAAATACTTATACATTTTTCTATAATTTATTTTTTTATAATTTAGATCAATGGTATGAATATAATGATGAAAAAGTACACGAAGTTGATGCGTCTTTGGTAGAAAATGTTCAAGCTTATATGTTATTTTATATTAAGAGGGAAATGAGAATTAACTTTTCTTAGCAATTACTTGAAGGATAATTTGGACAGCTGTAATTTGAGTATCAACATCTCATTTGTCCTAATTATATCCTTTGATTGTTTATAAAAGAATATCTATTTAAAAATAATTTAAACAGTATTCTTATTGTATGTTTTTATGCTTAAAATGTCATTATTGATACATGATTATTCACTTATTATTACTTTTTTTTTTCTAATAATAAGGTTTTTTACACACAAATAGTGATTTGAATTATATATTAGTTGAATTTTTAGCATTTAAATAACTATAGTTAAATTTTAATAGTTTTTGAATATAACTACATTTTCATATATGAATCACATTTTGGTGGCTGGGATAATTATTTAATCGTGATCTCTGGTTTTATTGATCAATATAATATGAATTATAATTAAATTTAAGTTCAAGTAATAACTACAATCAAATACTTAAAACTTGAGTTTTAAAAAATGAATTTGAGTAACATGGTTAGACAATTAACTTTTATTTCACCTTTTAATGCTTCAAAATTTAAGACTAATTAATAAAATAACAACTTGAAGAGAAAATAAATGTTAGGTTTTTATTTGTTACTTTACACTGCCAATTTTTTTTTTATTCTTATTTTTTTTAAATATTTGTTTTTTAATTAATTTTTGCTATGATCAATGATTACTTTTTGTTGAAAAACATTCCCAAGATTTATTTAAATGTTTATTACTATAATCAATAAGAATAACTAAATTATTGTTTTAACGGTTTAAATTTTAAGTATGGTAATGAGTTTAATTCCATATTGACCATAAGTATATACAGCATTCATATAATTTTTTATTAAATTATAAAATGATGTATTTTTTCATTAAATGAATACAATTAATATAATCTCATAATAAATAATATTTCATAAACATTGAGGTGCGATTAAATAAATCAATTGATAAAATTTAATTTGTTGCAATGATGGATTTAAAATAATTAAACCAGGAATTTGAAAAAAAAAATGTTCTCTACATTTGTATAATTTCTGTGTTATTATTAATAATTATTCAATTATTTATTCTTAACTTACCTATTTTTTAAATTTATAACTGTTAACATTTATGTACAAAAAATTACATTCTTAAAATACTTGACTAATCGATGTTGAATGGATAATTTGAAACAACCCAATAATACTACAAAAAACTAATTTTTGATTTCATTATAAAATACAAATCGAGATAATGAAAAAACAGATAAATAAAAAATTGTTAAAAAAGAGTAAATCACATAGTTATTTTTTTTATACAAAGATAAATAAATCGATATTATCTATATAATGTTTAATTTAATAAGTTATTTTTCAGTAACTATTACTAATAACTATTATTCATTTATATCAATTTCTTTTTATTTTAATAATCTTGTTCCTATATTAAGGAATTAAAAAATATATTTATTATTGAGTAATTATAATATTATTTTTAATATTAATTTTTGTCATACATTACTTATTGTAATTAAAATTATTGGTGAGTTTTATTTTTAAATAATAATTATTTTAATGGTCTTAAAATAAAACAAGTAGAACAGTAGTATAGTATTTGTATGATTTTTTGACAAATATTAATAATTAACTAATGCATTTAAATAATGTATTATATTAGAAAATTATTGTTATCATTATTTTTTTTTTTAACTAGACAGGTTAATTCACTGGGAATTAATTATTTTATGCATATAATCTTAAAATATGTTCTTATTATACAATTATAATATATCTAACAAATCTGTGTATGTGTGTGTGCTTTTTTTTTCAAATTTGTTTTCCATATAATGTATCTTTATTGTGGATTTTTGGTTTTAATAGCTGTTAAAAATTTGAATACCTATATGCATAATGTATGTTTATTATTCATTTTATTTTAAATAACTTAATTATAAAATAGTTTTAAGGTGTAGCTATAATTTCCTTTAATAATTATTGTCAAAACTTCATAATTTTTGTTTAGATATATGAATATGTATTACAAATTACAATATAGTTTTAAGTTAGTAATTAAAAGCATGATCCAATAACTGGATATTCTTGTTTTTTTAAACAAAAAAGTTTTAAAGCAATTGAAATTGTATTTAATAATTAAAAAGAAAGAAACGATCTTTGTATTTACTGTTTAACAAATCTTTCACTTAAAAATATAAATTAAGAAATCTGGTTATTGAATTAAGCTTTTATTTAAATACAGTAGAACTTTAATGATAGAAAAACATAAATAATATGTAATAATTATAAAACAAGCATTTTCCTAATATCCTATTAACTAAAAATAACTTCAATATTTCATTTGCAATATTTTTTTTTAGTCTCTTAAAATTAAAATTATCAAAGTTCTACTGTATTTTGAAAAATAACATAAATTATATTTATTAGATTATTATACATTTTATTATTAATTAACTTAATTTAACTATGTTAAGGTTATAATATTTTAAGAGTTAGAGAAGGCTTTGCAGTATATTAGTACTACTTATCAATTCGTTTTGAAAACCATAACATATTAATTACTAACACTTTTTTGTTTTTTAATTTGAGTGTTATCCAAAACTTAGAATGCTAACGTATATATTAAAAGAAAAAATATATTACATTTTAACTGAAAATTGCATACCTATAACTTTTAGAACATTTTAACATTTAAATAATATTATATATTAAAATTTGTTTGGAAATAAAATAATTTGGTGTGCAATTTTACGTCTTTATTGTAACTTAAGTGTATAGGATAACACTTAAAAATCTAAAAATGCTGATTGTAATTTTGAACAAATGTGTTCTAATTTTTAAATATATTTAATGATATGTTGTCTTCTTTTTCCCACTCCCTGATAATTATTGCTATCATGAAGCTAATTTTTTTATAGGATTGGCACAAATCACACATGTGCTGTTGTATTTTCGCCCATCTATTAGCAATATTTGAATTGTTTCTTATTAATAGAAATTGTTTTATTTTGTGCTCTTCCAGTACTTTGATTTTTGTCTTGTGTTCTTTTGAAATAAGATTCTATTTTTAAATCCTTTCATTTGACAACATCAGATGGTCTGATTTGGCAGCCATTGTGTCTTAACTTTTAAAGTGTTATTGGTCAATTAAGTCTTCCTATTACTACTTGCCGCCATGCACTTGATTTGATTTAATATGCTCGATGGCAGATCTGAGTTCTACTGACTGGCTTAACTTTTGATCAAGTTCCTGTGAAGTAGAAATTGTCTGTTTGTTCTGTATGTATATGCATGACAGTTAATAAGTTAATAATTTGACATAGAACCATTCTACTGACGGACGAACTGCAGTTATTTGTTTATAAAATTATCTATACCTCTGTCGATATGCGTATAGAATCTACCTTCGAATTTGAGGTTTTTTGTTATATTCTTGTGAATAACAATTATATAATTTTCCGATATTATTGAAGTCTTAAACTTCTACCTTATATTTATAAACGGAATGTCTGGTAACAGATATATTTTCTACGTCCATCGGAAATGACAAATCTATTCAATGTCTCCGCGTGTTCGAGTCTCTACTGACATTACGTCTCCTTATATTTTATCGTCGTCGGAGATCTACCTTCAAATTTGATGCAGTAAACAGTACCGCCATTAGTTATCGTTTAATTCAATATTTATTTGTACTTCCATCAACCACTCTACGGACGAGACATTCTGCACATATTGTTTCTACCTCCGTTACTATCTCTCTGCCTCCGTTCGGGTTGGTTCAGTTGTCGAGTCCGTGAGCGACGTTCGTACCATATTTTTTTGTAGTTCCACCAAACACGTAACATTTCTTCCATCTCGAGCAGTGTTCTCTTCATATTATCTACTTTCGAATTTCTGATATTTGACGAGTTTGCGCGCAGTGGATCTCGTGTCTCCGCTAAGCGTGTCGTGCCGAGATGGATTGAAAACAATTTCTATTTTAATCGACGTGAATGTTAGTGGGAAATAACAAAGTATATTGTACGTGTTACGTGATTAAACTTTGTACATATTTTAGTCGAGATTATAAATAATCGACGCCCCACAAGTAGGAAGCACATATTACATAATATGCGACGTGTGTATAGACTAAACCGGAAATCAATTTTTTTCTATACGTTAACTCGATATTTTTTTTTTACTGGACGACAGATTAGACAAATTTCTGCGCCGAATTGTTAAATTTTTATTTGACGTCATCGATTGGTTGACCAAATAAATGTCATACTCCTCATCCCGGGTGTCGTCCAAATATGAATTTCCGTCTAAGATAATTAATAAGCGTTGTTATATGTACTTTAAATGCGGCTGGACTTGATTTATAATATAAAATGCTGCCCACTTGCTTCCATTCGATTGAGATTGTTCCTTTGAACAGTCTTCGAGTCTTCCTTTTTCGTTTGTTGAGTTGTGCACCGATTAGCTGTTTTCTCAAGTAGTGCACTTAGCTTATTTTTTTTCCTAGTACCAATTTTGTCTTTCATGTGTGTATGAATAATATGTAACTATATTATACTATGTATATGTAATTGAACTCAATTATTATGTCATACCTTATTTATAATTGTGCTGTGTAGGTATATCGTTGTATATATTTTTGTACCTCGGGCAAAAGCCTGTTAAATATTCTAAATTAATACCTAAAACGAAATTTTTTGTGTACTTATACTCGCTTTAGAATGTATTACGATTAACGAGAGACTGTGTTTTGTTTTAAATATTATGATAAATTGTATAATAGCGTTGACATATTGTGTATTTTTTTAATAATTATACAAAACAAAGTCATAGGTAGGATTATATTATATATTTATTGAAATTTGAAATGCAAATAATGTTGTTAAATATTGATAATACTTTAATTTTAATAAATATAATGACTAAACGAATTTGATATTTCGTAATATATTTTTCTCTGTTGTTAAACTCTTTGCTAAAATGTATACCGCGTACGTATGATATATTGTATAATTCGTATGTAATATCAATATCACTAATAAACAATTATATTATCTATATTTATATTTATCTTATTTTTATTTCCCGATGTACATACCTATTGTAGAGTATCATTGATTTTAGAATTAGACATATACACACCTGTATACCTTCTTATGCCTGTTATTGGCTTTTTATTTTATTGTAA